GTGTATCAAGTGATCCAGCTGACTGGCTGACAATTGATGATAAACTGATTGAGTATTTACTAAACCTTCCTCTTGATCTAAATTGTGAACAAGGTGACTTCTCAAGATCTGCAAGAAGTGAAAATGTGGGTGAAAAGGAAAGAGTTCAGTATGTGCCCAAATCCTTGTTTACACGTCAAATGATGAAAAAGTTAAAAGGGAATGGCTTGTGTATTCTCCAAAAACTGGAGATGTATTTTGTGTTCCATGCAAGCTATTCAGCAAGCAAGTCTCATTGTTTTCTAGTGGGTTTAGCGACTGGAAAAATTGCCAGCGTACAGTTGCTGAACATGAAAGTAGCAATGAGCATAAAACCTCAGTTACTACTTGGGGTGTGAGGGCAATTACAGCAAGGTGAATTGATTGCACTTTGGCTTTGCAAGTAGAATTGGAGAGAAACTACTGGAAAGAAGTTCTATTGCGCATAGTTGAAACATAAAATTTTTAACATCAAGAGGTAGTGATGAAAGAATAGGCTCTAGCAACAATGGGAATTACCTTGGAGTACTGAAACTCCTGGCAAAATTTGACCCTTTTCTTGCACAGCATCTGGAGAAGTATGGTGTTGTAGGTAGTGGAGAGACTTCATTTCTCTCAAAAACGATTTGTGAGGAAATGGTCAATCTGATGGCTGAAGAAATTCACTAAATTATTCAGTTAGTGTAGATTCCACACCGGATGTTAGTCATACTGACCAACTTACATTCATAGTTCGTTATGTCAAACCTGATGGCAAACCTGTTGAGCAATTTCTAAAGTTCATAGACATACATGACCATGGTGCAGAGATCATAGCCTCAACTGTTGTACAGTTAATTAAAGATGTTGGTCTTGATTTGAGTGACATGAGAGGGCAGAGTTATGACAATGCTGCCAATATGTCAGGCATTTACACTGGTCTCCAAGCCAGAATAAAGGCTATGAATCCCCTGGCATATTATGTCCCTTGTGCAGGTCACTCCTTGAACCTTGTAGGAACATCAGCTGCCAGCAGTTGCCTTGGGTCTGTTTCATATTCCAGATTTTTGCAAGCCTTATACAACTTCTTCTTAGCCTCCACATATAGATGGGATCACTTGAAAGCTGCACTACCTGCTGAAGGGATTGTAGTGAAATCCCTTTCAGAAACTCGCTGGAGTGCGAGGGCTGATGCTGTTAAAGAAGTGTTTTTACAGTACCTTGAGATAAAGTCAGCACTGGAGAACATGTTCTGACAGTAGACAAACTGTGGCTACAAAGCTTGAAGGTGAAGGCCTCATAAGACAAATGGAAGCATTTGAAACTGCACTTCTTACTGTAATATGGTATAAAATCTTAACAAGGTTTAATGCAACCAGCTTATCACTTCAAAAAGTTGAGACCGACCTTCTGTCAGTTGTGAAACTGTATGAGAGTTTGATCTCCTTCGTCTCAGAAATGAGACAGGGTCAGTTTGATGAAATAGAAGAACAGGTTAGGGCTTTTGCTGAGCCTGTCTACAGAGAGACAACAAAAAGAACAAAAAAGAGAAAACATTTCTTTGATGAATCAGTTGGCACTGAAACTCAACTTGATCCACGTGAGAAGTTCAAGGTGGACAATTTCTACACCATATTAGATTGCCTTAGGAATGAATTAGAGCACAGAGTGAATGCCTACTCAGAAATAAAGAAACTGTTTAGCTTCTTAACGGAGTATGACAGTATGAAATAAGATGATCTCAAAGCCCAACTGGAATTGGTTGTCAGTACCTATTCCAGTGACCTGGAAGCATCTGTTCTAGACGAGTTTTTGCAATTTAAAGACATTTTGTCTTCTGAATCTGACAGGTCTGTGACAAACATCTCCACTTTGCTAAGGTCCAAAGATGGTATTGTGACAACTGCCTTTCCAAACATTAGTATCTTGGTAAGAATTTTCCTTACCATCCCCATTACAAATTGTTAAGAAGAGAGGTTTTTCTCTACTCTATCTAGGGTGAAAAATCACCTGAGGTCTACCATGTGACAAACCAGATTAAACTCACTTTCATTATTATGCAGTGAATCTGGCCTCCTACAATCCGTCAACACAAACAGTATCATTGACAAATTTTCCATGAAAAAAGTAGGAAGAAGTTATTTTGAAATTCACACAGTTTGCTGTACTTCATGTGCTTGCAAAATTGATTATGCTTCAAGTTAATTGTATTTCTTTCATTATTCCCATATATAAGATGTACATGATATAGAACTAGATTAAAAGTAATGATGTGTCACATTGTGTTGAAATTCTTATTTCTTACATTATAATATTATGATATTATGTAATATTTGATGACATTTAGCCATTGCAAAATAATTACAGTAATATATATATATATATATATATATATATATATATATATATATATATATATATATATATATATATATATATATATATATATATATATATATATATATATATATATATATATATATATATTATTTTTTGATAAAATCACACGGGAAAATGGAAACAACGGAGTACCTTAGCTTTCGTCTTTATTCAAGACATCTTCAGAGGCAACTGGATTACATGGATTACATAAATTTATTTGTCAGTGGCCCAAGGTTAAAAATGTTTTGAAAACCTTTGATCTTGATGTATGACAGTTATTTTGTGGGTCCCTTTTTTTTGACCTGACCTGTCTAGTCACGTCACCACCCTTCTCTTAAGCTCCTCTACGGTTGTGTTGGTGTGTGGATTAGTGGATGTCATCATTATGACCTGACCTCATGTTTTTAGGTCACCCTGTATATTTAAGCCTCTCTCTGTCCATGTAATCCAGTTGCCTCTGAAGATGTCTTGAATAAAGACGAGAGCTAAGGTACTCCGTTGTTTCCATTTTCCCGTGTGATTTTATCAAGATTTATCTTATCCACGTTTTCATTGTGGATTTACATGAGATATATATATATATATATATATTGATTATTGAAACATGCAAACATTTCTATAAATTTGGGGGCCCACTGATGAGTTTGGCCTGGGGCCCACAAGTAGGTAAATCCGGCCCTGCTTAGTTAATTCCCAAGTGACCCACTGCCACATAGCAGTTAATCCATCAAATAGACTGCGTCGAACTTGGCCCGTAAACTCACACAAGTTAAAATGTTTATATTGTTGACTATATATACTTATTTCACTGTTACATTTTCGTAGTTACTTACTCTTAGGTGATGAAACAGTAATGATTTATGTGTGAAGATTATTCTTTTCATAAATACTGCTTTACTCACCATCAACTGGCTGCATCTACCTGAACCATGGACCACATTAAATAGAATTTCTCAACCACTCAGCAGGCCGCACAAACACATGGTCTGGGCCGTGTATTGCCCATGCCTGAGCAGGTACAGTATACGCTAACTTTGAGAAAATTTTGTGGGACACCATCATCCAACTCATCCCAACATGGTTTCATGGAGAGAAAACAATGTCTTAGAAACTTATTCACTTTCCTTGATACAGTAACAGATTATCTAGACCGAGGGTTACAAGTGGATGTGTTGTACTGTAGATGGGAAGGAAGCAAGTCAAAATGATGTCACAACAAAAAAAAAGATCTGCACGAGTTTTATATTATGTGACATAGCAAACTAATATGCTCTTGAAAAAGCTCCAAAAGAGATTGGATTTTACCCCAATTCAGAAAACACTGTTTTACTCCTTCAGAGGGCATCAGCCCTCACAGTCAGTGTACCAGCTATAAGTGTGACAGCTTCAGTAAAAAAAAAAAAAAAAAAAATTGAAGCTCTGGTGAACAATTTCCCCTATACAATATTTACTATAAAGTGAGAGACCCAAATACTTCTCCCCACAAAGTTTGTGTTCTATATAGCTCAGAAACAAGAATGAATTCAGAGAAATAAAAGCCTCCTCCTCATCTGTATACAACTGTCTAAACCCATCATATGAGAGAATCCAAGGAGTTTCCATGGATCATAGGAGGCCAATTGTAACTTTAACACCCATCACTAATGCATCCATAAGATCCCCAGGATAACCCACCACCATATATCTAAGTGTGGTTTTTAAAGGATCACAAGCATTCTTATGACATATTATATGTCATAAGAATATATAATTAATATGTCATGAGAATGCTTTAGGCCTACATTTTGTAATGATATAACTGATGGTCTGTACTGATTTACCTTATATACTGTTCAGCAAATCAGCCCAGCTCAACTACAGCCACTTGATTGACTTGAACTGAATGATTGACTGATTGTAATATTACTCCATACTCCTATAGTTAAAAAATGATCTATAAGAATGAAATAAGGTACAAGAATTGCATTAAAATAAGAAACCGAGTGTCAGGTGCATCTCACCAAGTCACCAGTGATAGGGTAACCTACACGCATATTCAGCAATTGTTTATCTGTGATCAGGGATCACTGATCAGTAAGTACTGTATTTGCAAATGACATATGCTGATTATTTTAGGCTGGCGTCATGAGAGATGTCACTTCACATTTGTCAATCAAATTGGTGTAATAATGCCGAAAACTGCATCTTGCAAGTTGTACACAGGTTTGGTTTTGCCCCCCCAACATTTACCTTGGCCCCAAAGTGGCCCCCCCCCCCCCACTTTCCGAAGGCTAGAAACGCCACTGATCACAACCTACAGAAAAGGAATCCTCAGCTCCACTTCTACTGCATACTTGCATTAACTATGAAAAATAAAACTTCTAGAACAGAGAACACTGACTGCTCTACCTCTCTGCTGTGTGGTCTCCTGCAGCCTCTCTGGTCAAGCTCTTATCTCAGAGGTAATATCATGCAAACTGAATGTGTATCCTCTATCTGTTCCATGAAGCAGCATAATCAGAGATGATAAGCCAGGCTGTAGAATGATTGTTGGAACATCCTACCCTAGAACAATAAAGCATCAGTTGGAAGGAGATACAACACAGGTTTGAATTACAATGAGGTAATTAAAGCAAGACTCAGACGGCTTTTGGCGTTTATTGGAAACAGTCACATCAAAAAACTCTTCTTTTAATACTGAAAGATCATGGTATGGTTGGAAGAACAGTTTTTTTAGTATTAACCCATCATTATAACTAAAGATTTATATAGCGGCTCTGTCATGGGATGTGGAAATACAAGTGACTCTTGTAAGCCTGGAGACACTGAATACCAAGCCTCTTAGTATGATCAGCACTACATTCAACTACCCTAATTTCTCCATCTGCAAAGCTATGTACAAATTCACAACTGGGGGTTTCCCAAGAGTTAAGTAATGACCCTTAAAATAAAATGTCATATTAAAATACTATGATATATTATTAACAAATTATAAATTGTGAGCCATTTCTGAAACCTATATCTCACAAACCATTACTTTACTTGTGATCCAACTGTAGGCAACTAAAGCTTAGAGAGATTTAATGTCTACAGCATCAAAAATACAAAAGATAAGGCAGATCCAGGAATATCAAAGGAGAGGGGGGGGAGCCGTAAGGCCTCTCCCCCAGAATTTTTTTGAATTCTAACCAATATCATGGGCATTTTGAGGCCATGTGACTTGATATTATGGGATATTCTGAGGTCAACAGTAATTATTTTACAATATAAAAACCCCTGAGTGCAATACTGAATTAAAGAAAAAATATTGTATTTTCTGATGAAAAGGACGAGGTATGGACCCCCACTGGATCTGCCCCTGTAAGGCACAATTTCTTTAATTTCACAAGAACACAGAATCCTGTTTTAATGATATTCAGTCAAAATCTCATGACCACCTTCTACAATAAGAACAGTGTGTTCAAATTGTGCAGCACGTCCATTATCCAACATAACTGCCGTCCAACCATCCTCCAGAATGAGTGCATCTTCCTTACCCTGAGCTACGATTGGCTCGATGGTGAAAGTCATTCCTGCTTCCATGGTTCCCGGGTAATTATTATCTGTGAAATAAGAGAGGAAGTAAGGTTATTAAAGACTTTGGGTAAATACATATTCAATTTTCACTATTACACCAGACTGCCAAAGGATGAACCTCAACCACAGGATTGTACTTATACTGTAAAAATGTACAAGGCTCAAGACTTTAGCTGCTTGAGTATACACAAACACACTGATCCATTTTCATTTGAAGATACTGTATTGGCTTACAGTTCAGAGTGCTATTTTTTTATTACAAAAAACCTAAATAATTCCCATATACTAAAAACTACAGTATATCAGTTTGGAACCTAAAATTTTGCATAAATGTAGCCTAATGTTACAGATAGATGTGAAATGATCCAAAGAGTTATCATGCGACCCGTCAGTGGCATTTAACAGTTTTCCTTCACCATGGAACTCACTGTGGTTGTGTGTTGTCCATCAGTGGTGTTTAACAGTTGTCACTAAATCACGCCATGAACGGACATAAAGAAGCACAAAAATAACACTAAATGCCCTCTCTAGCAGTGAGAAAAAATAAATACTTACAACAGTGATATATATCTGGTGGTCCATGAAAGTACTTTCCAATGCCATGACCAATGAAGCAAGGTACTACAGTCACACCTTCCTGATCAGCAACTTGTTCTACCTTGGCACCTGTTAGAGAATTTACTTCACTGTACATTCAACATTTCATATGTATGGCATTCTTCTAAAAATAGTGCATAATAGATACCAAATAAAGCTAAAACTATGTGTAAAATAGCAACAATAGTATTAATTGCAAAGACATAATCAGCTTAAAGTGTTGATATACAAATTTTATATCACCAACAGAGACAGCCACCATTTACCTTTATGTACAGCAGAAAACATAAAACCCTACCTATCCCTATACTGTACTGTATTAAGCCAATATACCAAACATCCAATACGGCACATCGGAGATATGAACGAGCCAGGAAGAACTTCACATCAAAAAAATTAGTACTTAAGATAACTAATATGAAGATGCAAAAGCTTGAGCACATCTAAGATTAATAGTGAGTAAATAAACTTACCAATAGCTGCAAATGGAACTCCTGGAGCACATATAGCTATAGCTTCATCTCGACACCTTCGTGCTGCTCGTACTAAGTGATGTCCTAATTCATCGACGTTCCCAATGAGGTATGTCTCACAGCAATCTCCATGATAACCATTATAAAACACCTGTAAGTACAGTACATCAAATGTGGACTTTATTCAGAGAAATACAAAGTCTTAACTACCCAGTACTGTACTATCAAAATTTTTTGCATTTAACCCTTTACAACAGAAACTGACCAAAACTAGATGACTCCACTAACCGTAACATCTACAGAGACAATATCACCATCCAAAAGTTGGCGATCGTCAGGAATACCATGACAGGCCACATTATTGACACTAGTGCACACACTCTTAGGGAAGCCCATGTAATTTAGAGGGGAAGGATACGCTCCACTCTCAATGATCTTGTTATGCACGAGAATGTCAATATCTTCTGTTGCCATGCCAGCCTGAAAATTAACACACATTACAATATTTTTTGGGTATTGTCATGCACATTGGGAATTAGTAATAGGTTGGTGTTTATGTGGACAATAAGCTGAAAGAATTACTGTTCTGTCAGAGGAGATTCTCCTCAAGAGATCTGTATTAATATGATGCAGTCTCATTTCCGGTAAGTCAAATGTACAGTACAGGTATTAGTTTACAATGATCAAATATTTAATTATCAGGAACACTAAGTTTGGGGATTATTATACCATACTGTATACAGCAGTTGCTTCCCAACAGCAAACATCTAACAAATAAATCATTCTACAATTGAGATGACTCATCATATATGAGTACAGTACAGTACAGTACAGTACAGTACAGTACAGTACAGTACAGTACTGTACTGTAATTTACAATCAATTTGCCAACTCATTTTCAGAAATTAGCAGCATATATCTTGATAACTTGCATAAATAAAGAATACAGTACAGTACCTGCAAATGTTCTCCCACAGTATTTAGTACAGTTCGAGCTAGGTAAGAGGCTTCTCTCATGGCCTGCACCTGCCATTCAGCCTTTATTTCTGGACCAGATGGGGGAGTAGACGGTTCTCCAGTTTTAAAGTATGGTGGACAAGATATGTGGGAAGGAACCAGCTGGGCTGCAGATACTTCTCCAACATTATCAAGCACAGCATAACTGCCAAAGTTGGCTCTGTGGAGGAAACACTACGTTACATTAATATAAACATAAATAATGCTGTAAGCTGTGTAACGAACGACCTGTGATGCTTTTGACAGGACAGTTTGACAGTTATTCATCTACTTTTTCCAATCTACCAGTTAGCTGGCTTTAATCTCTCCATTTTTTATATTATACAGTACAGTACTGTATATCCTTTTATGACTTACAGTCCTTCACTAGGAGGCTCAAGCAATGTGTGCACCAAGCCTTGAGGTGAAACCCAGGATAACCTACAGTCAGTGGCTGGGCAACTAACCTTATGATCAGTTACAACTACACTGAAAATTAATTAATCCCTCCCCAGTACACCCATCATTCTTAAAAGGAAGAACTAAAGCAACACTTACCAAAGGCAGCACATCTGCATGAGTTCAGTGTCAATCATTACTCTGTACAGATTAAACTTATACAGGTGTTGAGGCCTGGGTCTAAGCAAATCTCATGCTGTGTGACTGAAGTAAAACTGACACAAGGTATCACTTCAGTTGTTTGTTTTGGGGCTCAATGGATGACTCATATAGGGAGCTGTGGGTCTCCAGAGATGCAATATCTGGGAGGACTGATAAAGACTGCCCATAAACATTTAGAGTGGACGACCATGGTTGCCAACCCTAAGACATGAAGATGGTACTGTACTTTGATTGATAGATATAATATTCAAATTGATTGCTGTAACTGGACATGAAATAGAAACAAAATTAAGATTAACTTTTAGGCTATAAACAGCACCTGTAGAGTACAGGGGGGACCATTCCCAGATTGTGGCTAGGGTACGTGGGGAGGGGAGGGGAGGGGGCTCTCACTATGGAAGAGTTTGGCTTTCAACTCCAAGAGTTTCCTTAGGGTGGTTCAGAAACATGTAACCAAGGGATATTTGGAAGATCTAAATGTCTTATGGTGCATTTTTACTGTAAATGAAAATATGCCAAATTGATGTAATGTCTATTTGTACAGTAATTTAATTTGTGGAAACCCCCTGTTCCACCTCCCCCTAGTATGCCAATAATACTGTACAGTACTAATGATAAGTTAAAAGTTCATATTAGTTACCTCTTAAATATGTCCCAAATTCCACGATTTTGTTGCGTTTGTGTCACCAGTGGGGCACTATAGAGGAGATGTGATGCAGCAGGTGAGCTTAGTGTGGTCATTGTTCTGATGCAGTGTGACACTGGTGACTTATAATTGTCAAGAAGAGTCTTACTGTTAACCGAGCACAACTTTCTTCTACGATATATTTTGTTTAAGGTATAAAGATTATCAAATTGCAAGCTTATTGACTGATAAAGATCTTTTTCCTCTTGCTGACAGCATTCTGCTTCCCTACCCGTCTTAGCAGCTATTAATGTAGCTTTACAGACATCATCATCAGCAATAAATATTGTTCTAAAGTTTAGTTTTGAGGAGTAATTTATTTTATCACGCATAGTTCTCGGAGTTTCCAGAAATGACTTAAAGTTTACACTGGCGGATGGGAAGACGTCTAGTGGATGTAACATTTTCTGAAGAATTTTCCTGGTCCACATCATTAACCTGATAAAAAAATAATATTGTAAGTAAAAAGTACAACACTCCTGTTGATAATGAATGTTGACTACCTGTAACTTCTGTGGTTTGGTTAGGATTATCATGGACAGAGTTCTTAAATACCTATTAGTAAAAGAATATACTGTACTGTTGTGGATACCTGTACTGAACTGATAAGACCTTGTTCCTAGGTTGTATATACATATCATGCTTCTTGACTGAGGTACACACACACAACACTGCCATTCAGGTGCAAAACCCAAGAAATCAATGTCATGGTAGAAATTAACTTGTTCTATACTGTACAGCATGTGGACTTGGCTATACTTCACCCTTTGAGTTAATGAATGTTCTGACAGATCACCCTCTCTCTCTCCACTCAAATTAGTAATAACATGGAAACTTTAAAGCTTCCCAGAGATTTCTATAAGCCTAGGAATCACAAAAACTAAATAACTTTTGTTCCCATGAGTTCCAGTCTAGTGAGATAGTATCCTCTCCATAAGCCCTGGCTCCCTCCCCTGCACAACAAACCATGGAAGCACACACATCCTCACATGCATAAACCTTATGTACTCTTAACAAACAACTGGAAATAAGTAGTAAGAAAGCTGCAATTCCTCCATTGTTTTATACAAATGTGGTTTTCTTCAATAGAAAATTATCCAATACAACACAATACTGTATTGTTGTACCTCATGAAAAGGAATAAATTTTTGTAATATAAATTTAACACTTATGTTCAGTAGAATCATTTTCTTGGTAATACTTGACTACAGCTTATCCTTAACACCAACTTCTGAACATTTTCCTAAAGTTGTTGTTCATCATCAGTCAGTGTTCCAGACTATTACCACTTTATTCACCCCTAAATCATGCTGAATAAAAACAACCTTGTGTTAGCCAAGTAAAATATCAAAAGCAGCATCCAGTAGTGAGGGGGATAACAGCTTACTATACTCTCTATATAGTGACCAACAGGTGAACAGCAAACGTCCTGTATAACCTTCCAAATACTCGGTGAACTTCATCATCACCAACCTCAAGATACAGTACAAAATACTATAATCTTGAACCTAACTCTTGTAAAATCATGAATATTATTGATGACGTTCGACGAGCCTGGGAACTTTAGCATCAGATACAGCCGTATTACGGTTAATAATTTGCAATTCATAAAATGAACCAAACTAGTCTACCTAACCTAACCTAACCTTGAGCTTCACCTAAACATTATTACAGTACATTATTGCAAATGGCTCGGTGGTGATATTATTGTAGCTACTGTACCTAGCCTGCAGACTGTGTGGCCGTAATATTAGGCCACAGAGTTAACGTGGTGGGTAGATGCTATGTGGCTGTTGGGTACAGTATTTAGCTCGTTGAAAGAAACTTTTGACGTACATTACTGCTTTCAATATTACAATTCTTTGCAGAATGAAATGACTTCTACTCTAGAATGCAATATCATGGCCACACAGTCTGTGGGCCAGGTGGCCACAGACTCACTTCATTTTTCGTAAGGAATATGTATCGAAATATTAATTGAGGATGCTGACGTTCACTCAATACATGGGAGGTTACCGTAGACAGAACATTTCCTTCATCACATAAAGGTCGATAATACATAAGAGCTTCTGGTAAATTGCTAAGACATTCTAAACCCTGAGTATAATGACTTTACACCCATTAAATATAAAATACCCCTAACTATAACACGTTTATTGCACTACCATGACTATAAGATCACTGGCCACATTATACTCACACGAATTGTCTGTTCATATTTCTCACTCCAAGTCAATCTATTCTTCTTTCTTCATTTACCAGCAAATTTTCAACACCAATTTCTCATTGCAATTCAATATTTCCTGCGTTATGTGATTTTTCTTCACTCTTCTCATTTGAGTCGACTGCTTGGGGGGGTTGTTTACACAGATAATTGAAAACATAAGCATTGTCGTCCCATCCTCCCAACGTTATTACAGTTATTTAAAATATAGAGACTTGAAAGTGAAATTATATAGATGCAAGAATTAATAAAATCCAAGAATAATGTGAAAAGGTACCCAAATGACCACAAATAGCTGTATTGGTTAGTGGAGTAGTGGAGTCCTCTCCTACAAGGCAGACGACACCGCTAACAGTAAACACTTGTGGAGGCTTCATCCAAGGATTAGGGAAATACAATATGGAAACATATACTCTGTGTCGGGTTTTAACCCTTGTAGTCTGTTCGGAATATACATACATCCAGTCTGCTCGGGTCAGATTTGACCCACAATTAAAAAATAAGACCTCTTCGCCATACATAGCATTATTTACTATGCATTCCCAGGGTCTACTGCGGGGTAGTGATAGTCATTCAGACCCCTCACCTAACCTACCCTACCCATCCACCCTTCCATTTTGAAGGTTAGGCCCTAATAAGATGCATGCATTGCATTTGAATGTTGCTGTTCCATGAATTTTGCATGTGTGTTTTTGGCATAAACAGCACACTGTTGACACCTTATTGTCACCTTTGCAAAGATAGCAACGTCGCCTTTTTGCTGGTCTTGATTGTCCTTGATTTGAGTTATCATCCATCATGCTTCTTTCAGCATCACTAACTCGCCTAGCATTTGGAGCCCTTGGTAAAGCCGGCCGTGACTATATGTGCGTCTGAACCATTGCCAATCCAAGTTCTTGCAGAAATAGTCTACGTTTGAAACTTGTACCTCTATGACAGTTTGGGTGAACTTGCATCCACAGTACAAATGCATTGTATGCTGAGATATCTGCTATAGTGTCAAACAAAGCCATTGGCCACCTCACAGTTTGTCGTTTTGAGCGATAAGCCGCCACAAGTTTGTCAAGGTTGTCTACACCTCTTTTAGTTGCATTATAGAGCTCTATTATGTTTGGTTTCTTAACCTCTCTCTCACTGAATGTGACAGAATCATGCATGGTGCTCAGCAACACTACAGTCTTCCCTTTCTTGGGACAGTATGAGATGAGGACATTATCATCATGGTGTCCTTTGAGGGTGGAATACACTGTTCTATTTTTAGGGTTCACAAACTCAGCTGCAAGTTCCTTTCGCTTCTTCCGGACTGTTCCAACAATAGTTTGCTTGCGTGCCATCAATTCCTTGGCCAAGGGTAAGCTGCAGAAGTTGTCACAAGTAATATTTCTTCCTTCAGTCCCTCTGTGAGTTGTAGTACCACACGTTTACCCTGTTCTCGTTCTACGGCTTCACCTTTGTTTCGACCAAGTTACACTTCCGCATTCCACAGGTAACTTGTTTCTGCATCACATGCTGCCCATACCTTTATTCCATACCTATCTGGTTTAGAAGGTATACTGTATACTGTCTGAATGGGCATTTTCCCCTGAATGGAACAAGCATTTCGTCTTCTGTGACAGTTGATGATACATTGAACATCAGTGGGAGTCTCAACCCAAGTATCCCAAATGTTTCTGATGGCTGCCAGCTTGTCATGGCGTCTTCTGGGGTTTCGAGTCTCTTTGTCATCAAAGCGAACATACTTTGAAATCTTGAAGAATGTTTCTAGAGACATTGTAGCGCGAAATATTGGTCGTCCATATGTGTCATCCCATAAACACCTAAGGGACTCACCACGAGACTTATACAGGCCAGCAAGGAGGCGCAGTCCTTAAAAAGCCTTCAATTCTGTCATGTTGGTGATATGTCCAGTTCCATGTACTCGATTTGCTTCCTTGTTCGTCATTTCCTGAATAACATTGAAAATGTATGGAGTTATCAAAAGATCAAATGCAGATGCCACATTATCTGTAATTCTTGTTGGTGCAAAGCGAGTAATGCCAGGATTTTGATCAATCACATTCCTAGCACTTCGCCTACCTACTGAACCATCTGCTTTCTTTTCATGCCAAACTATGGCTCCACTTTTGGAAGTAAAGATTTTAGAGTCAGAATCTGGAATGGACTTGTTGCTCTCTGAAACATTTTGACCATCCTCACTTTCAGAATGATCAGAATCACTACTCAGCCCACTATTCACTGAAACATGATCACTTTCACGATCTTCAGTGTCTGGATATAACTGATCACTTTCTTCATCTTGTGAGGCTAACTTATAAAAGCTACCAACTGAAAAACTTGACGTGTTCCTGAAAAAGAAATAGAAAAACCAAGGATAGAAAAAAAATAGACACCATTTCAATTATATTTCATCTACTGCTAGATTACGTAGGAGGTCTATAAGACGCCATCCTAAAGTGTATATTCAGAATATAAGCTTTTATCTATGCCTCTATCATTCTCTAGTAATTCAAGATTTCCATGTTATGAAAACCAGACTTCAAACCAACTGTAGTGGCCCGTTTCATCAACAGAACGTATTATATAAATGGGTTCTTACATCTGATTTATATTCAGATTCACCACCTGTAACTTTCCACTAACTTTGAGTAAGACATGAACTGATCACGTGAAGGGTAACTTTCCTAAGAGGGAGAAGCCCATATGTCAGCATCTATGTAAGCGCTCACAAGTGCGATGCCTTAGTCAGTCACTCACACCAACTTTTATCGAACGGAAGTTGATTCACGTTTATATACATAAACGCCGTCCTCTTTCTCATTCACGCATAAATAGTGGAACTTACGGTTCATATACACTCAGGAATTATAAACATAATACTTCTATAATAAAACAAGAAACTTCAATTGGGTTTCGTTTCCAAAAGCCCAATTATATTATATGTGTAACAACCTGGTTAACTGGGGAATTAACCAACGTAACACAACTTACATGTTCATGGTTGAAGGAAAATTCTGAAGGAAATCAACAATTTGTTTCTGCTTCACTGTGGTATGTAAACAAATTCGTTTTTTGTAATAAATGCAAATCACAAAAAAAGAAAATGGAAAACTACATTGAGAACATATGCATTTATAACTATTTCGTCAAATGTATGCATTGATTATGACGACTCGAGGGAGGTGGACTATAGGGTCATAAATGACCCAAACAGACTGGATGTTAGTTTTTAATCTGTGGAAAACTATAAAGATTTGGGTTAGCTAATTTCTTTCCAATAATAATCTCAGAATACTAGGAAAAGTCACGGAGTATGAAGTTTCTTTTCCGCAAAATAAAAATATTAAGATACAGTAAAGTGGCAAAGGGTCAAAAAAAGACCCCTAACAGACTGCTAGGGTTAAGCTGGTTAATATTTAGTAGTTGTTAATACCTACATATTTATCGAGTCTTATGTACAGATAAGAGTATATAGAGGTAAAACAATGCTACGCGCATGTTTCTCACCCCGGAAAAACACTTAATGCTAAAAGAATACAAGAACAATACATCTTACCTACTTATTTCTTTTGATTAAAATAAAAACTATCTATTATAACAAATTATAAACCAAATAAACCTAACCTAACTAAAACTATTATTTATCGGCTATCTATATAGTTTATACCGGCGATATTGTTCGGGGTACTATTTTAACATTACACTTACCCCGATCTGACTAATTTAACATGGGTCACAAACCAGTTTCATGGCTTTCATCTACCACGAACGCTGGCACATACTCCTTCCATCTACCACACACTAGCAAATACTACAATCTGAAGTCTTGATCTCACTGAATTTGTTCTCTTGAACATGCTGATTAAGAATGTCATCCACTGTTTGATATCTGTATATTTACTTCTCCAAATGACATCTCAAATATTTTAATTACTTTTACAATGCTAATTACTCATAATTGAAATTTAATGTCTAAGTACTATAAATTACATCCAGGATAACACATAAACACCAAAAAGGGACCTAGAAAAACCATAGGTGGCGAGTCAATTATTCCAAATAAATAATTTTTAACAAGAAAAAATTATAACCATAATAACATCACTATTCAAACAGGAAGCTCATCACGCACGTACATAAAAATAATAATTATCTCTTTTCAACCATACCTCATTATGTTTCGTTCAGACTTTGCCCCCCTCCCTCCCACCCTCGGCAAAATTTCTGTGTACACCAGTGGGTCATCTAATTTCTTTTTTATGGGAATTAGCCCACCCGGGCACAGGTCAAATGACCCACATCAGGGCCTAGAGGTCGAAAAAATAAGAATAGTAAGAAATTAAAAATAGAAAAGAAAAAGGTTATAGTCTCTCCTCGACTTACGACGGGGTTCCGTCCCGACGACCAGGTCGTAAGTCGAAAAGGCGAAAATAATACATAGAAATTATAAAATGGGTGTCTCTTTCTTCTCAGCACCACGAAAACTGTCACTTTTATGCTTGCCAGCCGTTTTAAAGGGAATTACAAACGAAAATTTTGTCAGTACACAGCGCGATCACTAACGTCAGGACTTGAAAATACGTAATGTGAAAAATAGTTTATACTACCATGGCCGTTGTATGTCCGGGTTGTTGTAAGTCGAATATGTCGTAAGTCGAGGAGAGACTGTATTAATCTACACCACGAAGGTGCCGGAAAACCAGCTTTTTAAAGCGTCAGATTGTATGAGTATGGAAACACAGAAGAAGGCAGAGCATTCCACAGTTTGGCTGTGTGAGGAAAGAAGGATGTACTATAATGGCTTATTCCAGTGTGACCGACATCCACAGAGAAATGATGGGCAACGCGGGCAAGACGAGTGTTACGAGCCCAAGGCCTTGCCAGCGGTACACAGGATGCTCAAATCCACAGAACATTGCCCGTTAAAGTACCTGTAAAAGAGAGAGTGAAGCAACATTCCGGCGAAGAGAAAGGGAAGAAAGATTGACAACTTAACTGTTTATTACTTTTCCTGGAAATTATCAAGTTTTGAGAGATGACATCATTATATTCTACTAATTGGTCATTCTTGGTGTCATCCTTAAGGCTACTCTTCCATGTTGGGGTTTTAAAAAAGTAACTCCATAGTTGTTACTGGATTGGCTCACCAAATTTACCATCTTAAACATTCATTTCAGTCATGGCTGTGTTTGCCATAATGCTCTTTTACCGAGTTCTGGAACATTACAGGAAATTAAAGAAAAACTATTTAAAATTCTCCAGTTTTATTTATTATACATTACATTATGACAAAACTTTTTTGATTTCAAGTACTTTTAAAGAAGGCCTTTCTCTTGAACATCAAAACAACATAAAAAGGCATCACATCAAACAATACCAATCTGTCCCTCTTAAAGCTGTTTTATTTATTGTTTCTTTCATTCTTAGTTACCATTTATATCCTGATAAATTAAAAAACTTAGCAAACATAAAGGATAACAGAATAACAAGTGTTTCGTTATTAACAAATCGTCAACATCAAATAAAACATAATCGAGTCTTAATATAAAATACAACTAACCAAATTACTATAGAGCAAAAAATTCCTAAATATCCACCACAACTCAGTAAAATTATGAAGAAAATACTGTTCACTCAATCCCTCAGAGAGAGAAAAGCGATCCCTCTGTGATTTAGGGAAAAGGTAGAAAATAAGTTTGGGACAATAATGTGTCTCAACCTGTAGAACTACCATCATCCCATTCAATATAAACAACATACAAGTGCAACTTCTTATATGCACTGAAGAAACACGGTGGCTCTCGGACTCGGCTGGGAAAAAATTCACACAGTACTGTACACAAATGGTCACTGGTCTGATTCCCAATTTGAGTAGCAAGAGAGTTTCCCACTTGTACACTATGCAATACAGTACACTATATACATCACGTCAGAGGTGATCATACAGTTGAACTTCTCAAATCCAATACAGTATTCTATTATCCAGAACCACATGTGGTCTGGACAATTTGGGGAATGTTAGTTCACCTCCCATGGTCTGGTATGATTAGTTCAGTTCTTAGCACCTTCTCCCATCTCAATGCAGCCATATTGTTTACTTTGTTTGGATGTCTCTTGGCTGTGTTAATTTTTATATTCTGTATCTATAGTAGAATGTTTAGTTGAGTGTTGGCAATATAGAAGTACAGTACAGTATTTTCCAGGTGAACCATCAAATATTTCACTAAACACAAACATAATAAATATAGACAGGCATTTTTACAGAGATTATATGGTCTTTATAGCTTCCTCCTCTTCTCAACACCATTGTTATTTTAAGTACTGTACTGTAAATTTTTATTTATTACAGCATTATATTTTATCATAATTATTTTTAGCTTTTTAGGTGTTATTATGAAGAAGAATATCACTTTAGGGTAAGCTAATAAAAACACTGTACCTATTTTCCTTTACTATTTCATTCTTTCAAGTTATTCTTAAGTGACCACCTGTGATCTGGCAAATTGTTTCATCCAAGAAGGTATCGGGTCCCATGACTGCCGGATTAGAGAGGTTCATCTGTATAATAAATTATTGTTTCTTCACTGGAAACAAAGACTATCATGAGCAACTGATATCTATAGACATACTGTATGATTTACCAGCAGAGATGTAAGACACTGATGATAAGATAATATCCTGAATAAAAATCTGATTGTGCTAGTTGTCCCTGAGTTAAATATGCACACCTGGGACTCAATTCCTTTACTAATAAAATAATATAATACTGTACACATTCTCTGTCAGTCTCTTGAATGTCTTAACTCCTACTGGAAATTTCCCTTTTTTTGCCTTCTTCCAATATCTTCACAAAGCTACACCTGATGTGAAATATATACAGCACCTATATGTAGTCATTACTTAACAGTTACCTGGTTTCATATTTCCTTTACATTTCTATATTTTCACACAAGGTCTTAGACAACACTGAAAAAAAATACAAATATATTAAAAACAAAAGTATGGAACTAAAAACAAAATACAGTTTCACCTTCAGTTATTTTATAGTAAACCCATACAGAATACTGTACACACCTGCTCAGACTATGGACAAAATTCACACATCATAGCTTGCTCCTGCCTGAGTCTCATCCAGAAAGAAGTTTACCACTCCCTGAGCACTCTGTGAAGAGAGCCATATGTGAGACATGAAGAAAGCTTCTAGGACACCAATCACAATACCACCAATAACATCCAAGAGATGGTGGCGCTCTAGTAACAGGCGAGACGCACATACCGCCCCACTCCAAGCCATCATGAGTATTGCTATAGGCAGGAACAGGTCATACTGAAAAGATAGAACATTGATGTTTAATAAATATAAGGGAGTCGTGTTATACAACAATGTCATTAACTTTATTTTTAAATTAAAAAATAACAAACAAAATACAAGCGAACATCAACATGTTTGTTGGATAATACATTACTTAGTCATGATAATCTGCTGATCTTTCAATATTAAGTACAGTACAGGGTGGCATATATATTGCTTTATCAAAGGCATATTTTTGGCATATTTTTCTCAGCTTTAGGCTTAATCATCATGAGTTTTGTTGCTCGGACTTTATTATAGTTTTCCATGTTATGACCAAAGTCTCGAGAAAGGATGATACAGTAATTATATCACTGTCTTTCTCTGTTCACGAAATAGCTACTGTACCTTAACAATAATCATGACGACTAGAATGAAAGTCCCCTTTTAACTGTTAGGTTAGATTATTTACGGTACCTTCAATGGTAAGAGAACGCTTAACATGACTGCTCTTGTAGCATGCCCAGATGGAAAAGAAAACTTATCAACTGATATTGTGGCAAACATCTCATCTTTCTTGTTACCAGGTGGACGCCGTCGCCGGGTAATGGCCTTGACAACTGAAACCACAACGATGTCAAGGAAGAGAGCTGAAAAGAAAGTATGAGAACTAGATTGCCAGTCAAACATAATACAGTTATATTTCATTATGATACTCCACTGTGGTGTAGTGATCAGCATACTTACCTTACAAATGAAAGGACCTGAGTTTAATCCTGTGAAGGGTGAACCTACGGGCACATTCCATTACACTATCGGCATGTCTACCCAGCAGAAATTGGAGATCTGGATGTTAAATGAGTGGCTGATCAAATGTTGGGTTAAGGGTCATCCAGTGCAGTAGGCAAGTGTCTGATCTTCCTGGGCTACTCCTTGAAAACCAGGACATACACTCCACTCCATTGCATTACGTGCGGGGTCGTGACGAATATAAACAAGATGAAATATTAATAAAAAATTAATCTGAGAAGTTAACAAACTTCCGGTAGTCTATTGGCCTCCCTTTTCTCTTAATACACTCCTGCAGGCATGAAGGAACTGACTCTGCCAAGTTGTGGATTATTTGTGGGTCTTAATTATTCCACTCCTCACGAATGGCGGCCTCCAGCTTGGGGACGGTATTTGTGTCCTTGCCTTGCAGACGAAGCTTGCTAATGCTCTACTTATTTTCTATCGGGTTAAGGTCAGGCAAATTGCTTAGCCAATCACTTATGAAGTCTACATGACAGTTAACAAGCCATTGTATTACAGATTTTGCTGTGTGACATGGGGTACCATTTGCATAAACACACCAGCGTGGCATTTATCAAAAGACCCGGGCAAATAATCACAAAGCAGCTCCAAGTAGTTAAATTGGTTTATCATCATATTCCTAGGTAGTACAACAAGATCACCAGTTCCAAAGTACGAGAAGCAACCCCACACCACTAGTGACTGAGTATGCTTAACTGTACACATTGAAAATACGACTTCCAGTAAAAGAAAACGTTGCCTCGTCACTCCACAGCACGTGCGGCCACTTGGTCGTATCCCACCGAGCGTTAGCCTTGGCAAAAGCAACCCTACGCTACCTCTGGACAAGGGTGAGAAGTGGCTTCTTGAATGCGCGGTGGCTGCGAAACTGCAGGTCGTCATGGATGCGGCGGTGAACGGTCCTTACAGAACTATCACCTAGAAGTACAGGGTTTTTTCTTCCAATTCCCATGCTGACAGACGTGGATTAGCATCAAGTTGCCTCTTAAGAACAGTTAACGTGCGTTGGGAAGTTTTTCGAGCCTTCCCTGGCCCTCAGTTGTGCAACCTGTCGTCATCTCGAAATCGTTTAATTCAAATCTGAACTGATCGTTCACTCACACCAACAATTCTTGATATTTCCTTTACAGGTTTCTTGCCCCTATGCAGACTAATAATTGACACTATCTGCTCTTATTTTAAATCTTTCCTCTTGCCCATTGTGGCAAAAAAAGCAAAGAAACAACAGGCGTTGTGACAATAAATAGGGGCAATGTGGTGGGGGGTAAAACTCATAAATCTTTGTTCACGAAATTTACGTGGGCAACTGGTGAACGTTTTGATTGCTGGCTGACTTGTCCTCGAGTCTCCCTTCACTGCCAGACGTAACCTCAGCACCAGCTGGCTGTCATGGAGGGGTGTGAGACACTTCAGCAAAAATCACTTCCTGTCGGCCACCTCGCACATAATGCAATGGCGAGGAGTGTACATCTCACTAATTTAGGGTTTGCTTATTGTGCTGAAAAGGGTTCATTACTGTATACAGTAATAATGTATTGTGTGTTTAGTACAATGTAGATACCAGTACGAGACCACAGACCAATTACAACATCAAAAAATTCCTAAAACCACCACATTTTCTCACTTCAACACTACAGTACTTCCATTATTTCATAACACTTATAGCTTGCCTTTAGTGCCTTCCTGAACTGCAGACTCAACGTTACTAATGTAGCAAAAGAACTCAGTGTCGTGGATCGTATGCGATATACTGTGCAGGTAGTGCTGACCACTGTGGCCAGTACTGGATAGGTTTCTTTGAGATGATTCGTTGACTTCGTGTGATATTAAACCTTTAAAAACCATATTTGATGAAACATATATAAATATTTATAGATTCTCTAAGAAACGAAACATTAAACACTAAGTGTGGAGTACCTGAACCCTGTGACAGAGTAAAACATTACCAGGTTCTTCAACTGTGGATCAAATTCAGCTGTACAGGTGTAACCTTAATAATCTGGGACACTGCCAATTTATCTGACTGGGTACCCTCTCATAATAATGGCAGGTTTTTGATTGGTGGATAGTTTCTCCCTACATACAGTACAGTAATACCCCGCTTTACGCGATTCTACATTTACGCGGTACCTCGCCAGAACCGGACTTTCACTTTACGTGATGCATCTACCCATATACGCGTAGAGTGTCTGGCGCGACGCTATCTTTAGATTCGACGCTCCCGCCTTCTCCCACTTGGGCAAGCCGAGCGGGTATGTTGCGCAGTGGATGTCTCTGTTGCGTTATCGGTGACGTATCGGACTGTGATTGGGCCATGCATTCTTACCTCCCTCCGCCGCTAGCTGTGATTGGTTTAAAGTAATATGAGTGTCCACCCGCGGGAGGGAGGAAAGACGACGCTTGACCTAGCCGGGTCAGTTGCATCACTCCAGGCCATACCGTGTAAACCAGTATTCATTGCTCTGTAAAATGGCTTCCGCTGGACCACCGCCCCCAGAGAGAAACTTTGCATTACAGGTAGTTCTGCTATAACGCGATAATTGTGTTCTTGTAAAATATCGTGTTATAGAAAATCGCGTAATAGAAATAACAGGGCTTATGGAGAAAATAGGGTTAGGTGCAGATTACTCGAAATCGAAAAAATTTAGTAGTTAGCCTAACACAAAGGATAGCACAGTCTAAATAAATGTTACATTCATATCTAATAATGAAATCATACAGTAAATGTAACACTTTACTTGATGGGGGAGAAGGGTGATTTTGAGGTTGATAAAATCGAGCTTCTCTTCAAGTGTTATATCCTTTCTTTTACGATCATCACCGGGAATTCTATCACCAGAACACTTCTTGTTGATATTCTTCTTTACTATATTCACAGTTAATACTGTACCACAAAACTGGAGAAATAGTAAGCAAAAATCGCGTTATAGCAAACAAGCGTTCGCGTTATACAAATATCGTTCCTAATTCATAAATCGCGTTAGAGCAAATTCGCGTTATCAAAACACGCGTTATAGCAGAACTCACTGTACCTGGACCCAGTCGCCCTAAGCCAAAGAAGATACAACGTTCCCTAAGCTACGAAGTGAAATACAAGATCATTCAAGAGTAGGAGAAAGGAACACGTCAAGCTGATCTCGCGAGCCAGCATGGAGTCAACGAATCTAAGATTCGTACAATTAAGAAGGATGCAGCCAAGATCAAAGAACACATGAGAATCACAAAGTCTGCAGGTGCTTCAATGATCAAGTATTGCCAGAACAAGGTGCTGCTAAAGGTTGAAAATTTGCTGGTGAGTTACTCGATTCGTCAGGCGCGGCGTAACATGGCGGTGGACACGCGATCCGTTCAAGAGTACGCCCGTGAACTGTACACAGCAGTGTCACGTAAGATGGGAATTGCAGAGCCCAAACCCTTCAATGCTTCCTCTGGTTGACTGCATAGGTTTAAGAAGAGGAACAAGATCACCAACATCAACATTGGTGGTGAAGAAGCGAATGCTGACCGTGTGGTGGTTAGAGATTTTCCTCCGTTCTTATGTGAGGTTATGGAGGAAGGACAGTACACCGACGACCAGGTGTTCAACATGGACGAATCCGGTCTATTTTGGAAAAAGCTGCCTACCAAGACCTTCGTTGTCCAGTCTGCCAGCAAGATTCGGGGCCGGAAGTTGCAGGAGCGCATCACCGTCCTCTTTGCCACCAATGCCTCCGGTACCTGTAAACTCAAGTTATCAGTGATCCACACAGCCCGCAAGCCGCACGCCTACAAGAACGTGGACATGAGCAAGATTAATGTCCACTGGTTGACCTCACATAAGGCGTGGATGTTCTCTGCTCTGTCACTCTCCTGGTTTGATGACTGTTTCGTTCCCGACGTGAAGAAATTCTGCGAGCAACAGAATGTTCCATTCAACATTCTGTTGCTCCTTGACAACGCATCAGGGCATTCGCCACTACTTATGGATCGTCACCCCATTGTAAAAGTGGTCTTCCTTCCTCCCAACACTACGACATTATCCAGCCCATGGACCAGGAGTTGATATGCAATGTGAAAGCTGCATACTCTGCAAAGAAGTTTAAGCTCCTGAACGACTGTACCAACACCAAGGATGAGTTGCGTAAGCTGTGTGACACCGATAGCGAGAGCAAAAGCGACGAGGACGAGGACAAGGAACAACAGGTGGTGAATCAAGAAGTTCTCGTCAAACAGTTTTGGAAAAAATTTAACGTCAAACAAGGTGTGGACTTCTTGGTGGAGGCATGGGATCAGCTGTCTGTAGCTACGATTCGTCACGCATGGAGGCATGTGTTGCATGGTATCCCAGGTGAGAGGCGGAGTCAACCTGTGACTGGTGAGGTTCAGTCTGTTACAGTGGCATTGGACCTTGCAAGAGAAGCTGCACACAGTATTACAGCTGAAGGCTTCTCCGAGACCACCAACGAAGACATCCTGGAGGTGATCAGAGATCCTGAAATGACTGCCGACGAGATGTTGGAAGATGATCACGTCAGTGAAGAGGCAGGTGGTGCGTCAACCCCAGAAGAACACAAGTTAACGCATAGTAATGTTAAGGATGCCATCGAGTGTGCAGAGAAACTGAAGCTCTTCCTTTTCAAAGACCATGACGATGACCGCTATGAAGTCTTCCATACCTGGCTGGTGCAGGCTATGGAGCCGTACATCAAGGTGTATCAAGACAACATCAACACTAGCCGTCAAAAAAGCATTACCGAGTTCTTCGCCCGCAACCCACCACAGCCAGCCCGAGCCTGTGATAGTGACAGTGAAAGTGACTTTGAGGGATTTGTCAGGGAGGTCCTGACAACTATGGTGGATAGTGATGGTGATTCACCTGAGGGCCAGTAATCTGCCCTCTGCCTCGGAACCAGCCTCCATCCCCGTAAACCGACCCATCTCTTCTACTAACGTAAGTGTTAAACCTAACCTTTATTTTTCCTAACCTAACCTCTTCTATATTATGTGTGTGCATACCATCATACAGTTAAGATAATATTTTTACTACAACATAGTTTTGTGTCGTCAAAAAGTGGAGTTTGGGGGTCGGGCCAGTCTCTATTGGAATTAATCCCATATGTTCTGTTGTTCACTTTTCGCGGTTTTCACTTTCCGCGGTACCCCGTGGGTTCAATTGACCGCGTAAATCGGGGTACTACTGTACTTTTAATTTATGTATCCCAAGCCACAACTGGAAATACACACATGGAAATTCTATACGGTCTGTTTTTTTTAAATAATAAATTGGTGAGGTTCCAACATCATCATCTTCACCAAGCTTCTTTACAGAAGCTCCACTGTTATATCTTGGTTAGCAATTCAACCTTTTTCACCAGGATGAGTGATAAATCTTTGCACTTTACAGTAATTTGAAAATAAGACAGCTAAGGCATACAGACAGATCATACACAACCAAAAGATGACAGTTGCTTGTGTAAACAAAGTTGGTGACTGTGGAGTCAGCTTATCATTGCATCATAAAAAATGGAGCGGCAAGACAATAAATTAATCCCAGATTCTTCAAGGTTTTCTAGAATTCTGGATTTTTGAGGGAAGGGTTTTCAAATCAAAGCAACAGTCGGTTTTCGAGGTGAGCCGGTTTTCTAAATGCCCGTTTATTGAGGTTATACCTGTAGGATCAACAGTGATTTATGAAGGAATCAAATGAGGCACACAAATACACCAAGGCATGTTCACACACCCTCACACAGTCACTCTATGACATGTAAACAAACTCACAATCGTGCACATGCACACATTTTATGTGTCATCCAACACAAACATATTTTTTCCCCAGATTAAGGATAAATATGAGGATCCATTACTGTACTAATCTACAGCACAGATTTACTGTACTGTACTACTCTCCCTTGCTTTAAATCATCTCTAATAAAATTTCTATTGTCTAAGTATTAAGATTTTTGTAATACAGGTACCTACTTTATATTCCTGCTCCTATTGTAACACCGAAATCGTTATACAGTACTGTACATAGCAGAAATTGTCATGTAGATATATAGAAATTACTACAGTATTGCAATAAATATATTTGCCAATTAGACATGATACTGACAACTCTGTCCTCTTGTTCCACCTTAATACAGGTCCCACCACTGATTTTCTGGCACTCTTGGTTCCAAAGCCTTGCCGGATTATCCATTTTGCTGGACCAACCGAGGTCAGGTAATAATAATTCAACAATACACCTCCAATAGGCCCGCTGCAGCTTCCTCCATTCTTATGTTCTCTGACCCACAAATTATACACCTCCCATGTCTCTAAAGCACCATGGACTGCTAGAAACTTAAATTAAACAAATATTAATGTAAATTAAATGTGAAAAAGCCATAATTTTGAGCAACATTACTGTACACACTTTGTACTCAGGATGAAGAAACTGCACTATTTAAGACTGAATGTGAGAAGGACCTAGGTGTGTATGTTGACAATGAGCTGAAGTTCTCGGGCCATTGCGAGAAGGTAAATCAGGCAAATAAATTATAGGGTCTTATAAGAAGGTCGTTCAGATATCTAGATGGTCCGTCCCTCGTAATGATTTTCTATAGTGAAGTGCTTCCCCATCTGGAGTAGTGTCACCCTGTCTGGTCCCCGAGATATGCTAGGGACTGTCAGTTGGTTGAAAATGTTCAAAGGAGGGCCACCAGACTGGTGCCTGCACTTCGGCACCTCAGCTACCCTGAGAGATTGGAGAGCCTGAACTTGCCTAGCTTATACTACAGACGGGCAAGGGGTGACCTAATTGAGGTGTATAAGCATCTCAAGGGGCACTAATCAGTCGAGTGTCCTTACTTGGAGCTGGCGGATGCTTGTCCCACAAGGGGTCACAGCTCAAGATTGAAGAAGCCGCAAGTCCAGAAAACTGTGAGGGCAAACTTTTTCGGAGTGAGAGTTGTGAACTCTTGGAACAATCTACCAGAAAGTGTTGTGACGGCACCGAGTGTGAGCTATTTCAAGACAAGACTTTACCAACACTGGAGCAGGTTCAGGTACATTCAGGAGCCGGTGCATGCCCAGTACTTGCCAACAGTGCGTAACAGAGACGTGACCTATCGCCCAAGCGGCTAACAAGCCGATCAGTGGTGAAGAGGATAAAAGTAAAGTAAAAGTTATACTCAAATTAATCACTATCTTACAAGGATTCCAGCAATGCAAAATTTTTTAAATGAAAACTTTAAGCCTATAACTACCTTCACTGAAGTTAAGTGCCCCCTCATAATTTTATCCAGACTAAAGGAGGTGCCGGACCAACAGTTCCTGGAAAATCGGTGGTGTACCTGTACAACCCATGTTGTACTGCTTCCCTCCCTCATCATATTTATGTATATCAACACCACTGTTAAATATGTACATACTTAAAATATAAATTAAAATAAACAAATAAATAAATAAATAAATAAATATCGAAGTGATAACCGTGGTAACATGTTGTTATTACCACCATGCTATGTGAACTATTCCAGATGATACTAAATATTACATAATACTTCTTTGAGGTAAATGTACAGTATATATCAGGTGCCTACAAGAGAGCTCAGGCTCTCAACTGACTCAGCCATTTTAATATTGTTATTATTATCCACTCTGTATCTGTGTTTTTCTGGCTAAATAAACGGTTTCAATGATTCAAGATCTTGTTGGGGAGCTAAACACACAGAAAAGTGAAATAGGGTCCCAAAGGCATATCTCATAATTAGGAACAGTACAGAGACAAAACACTGTACCCCCTCTGTATACTAAGCCTTCAGTACACAAGCAGGCAACAGCCAATACAGGTACTCCGACTTACGACCACCCGGACATACGACCGCCGCAGTCGAACCAAAATGTTTTCAAATTACGTATTTTCGAGTCCTGACGTTAGTGATTGCGCTGTGTACTAACAAAATTTCGTTTGTAATTCCCTTTAAAATGGCTGGCAAGCTTAAAAGTGAGAGTTTCGTGGTGCTGAGAAGAAAAAGAGACACCCATTTTAGATTTTCTATGTATTACTTTTGCATTTTCGACTTCCGACCAATTCGACTTACAACCTGGATTTGGGTCCCTAACCCCGTCGTAAGTCGGGGACTTCCTGTATGCTGCTTTTGACTGCATTTGCTTCTCCAAGTTGTAAACTTCGAGGTACCCATTTACAGCTAGGTGAACTGGGAGGAACCCAGGAATTAAACCATTGACCCCTGGAGCAGGAGGTGAGTGCTGTGTGCACTCAACCACTGCAATCCTAAACAAACTATTAGTGAACAAAACTAGGAATCACTGAGTATTGTAAGCATGGTGAAAGTGTATCAGAACAGCAGCAGCAACAAGAATATGGTATAAAGAAAAGTTAATTCTCTGACATTACTAAGAATAAAGACACAAGACAGTTATGCAAGAAAGGGAGTAAAGGAGTGCTGCAGTAGCCATCCAGGCTCAGGGTTTACCCCAACCTTCTGGGATGGAAAAGTCAACCAAGTCCAAAAAACGATAAAGAAAACTTCACTTATTACTGCTGGGATCATATATCAACAATCATTTTTCTGCATTTGTGTTGTTTAACTGTATGATTTATCTGTTATCCTAAATGTATACATGAAAGGCAAGATAAAAAATAGTACTTGTGCATGGACACACCACCTACCAAGTAAGATGTTGACCAATAGCTGCCTAAAAGCCAAGTTGCTGAAGAGAAAGATGAAGGTAGGGGTCCCAATCAACCACGGTATTCCATGACATGAGTACTGAAAGCAACAATAATACTATATGTCCTTTTTTCCACATCACCAGAGACAGTTGTTTATAAGTTAGTCTAAATATACAGTATAATACACACATTAAACTTTGATCACTTGACTTCTTCAATTGGATTTTTTATGAGCATCAACACTTTATGGCCATTTTCTGTGCTCTTGTGGGTTAGCTCTCCCTGCAGCATAGTCTCATACAGCCACTCTTATCTGTTCTTAACTGTGAGGACATTTCTTGCAACCTCTCCCTAGCACTCCTCCCCTTCACACATTCAAACTCGTGCATCTCTTGACCCGACTGGTCTCCTCCATTCTCTCCATATACCAGAACTAAACTTACCTCTATGCAAAACCTCACCAATACTGTCAACACCCAATTCCCCCCTTAGTTCAGTGTCACATTACATATTCATCTCATAATTCTCATTCAGCTCACTCAAGCCTGCTTATGTCATCCTCTTTAACTGCCCATGTTTCACTTAGATACACCATCACACTTCTCAAGTTGGTTGCTTAAATCTTTCTTTCACACAAAGAAAAGACCCTCTTGCTGTCAGTAAAGTCAACAGCTCCATAAACTTCTTAAGCCATTTCTGACTCACAAATGAGCTAGCTTCAGTGGCTAACTACTATGTTCAACACTATCTATACTCACTTTGCTTCATCTAATGGGCCATTCTCATCTACAGTAGAGTATAAATACAGTACAGTATATGATTATTAATATAAAATTACCTCTAATCCCTTAAAATGTGTCTTATATTTGCTAAGTGGCCCATAATTCTGATCCAAATACTTGACCAATTTCTCAGACACCGCCACATCCCACTCCAGCACCTGCTTCATTGGCTTGGGTACAACTCTTTTTTCTCCCATTGCTGACACGTCTGAAAAACAAAACGTATAACAGTACAGTACTTAATACTTCACATGTGTCATTTACATTTGGAAAGTCTCCTGCATTTTCAATTTATCACATAAAAAAATCTGTGAAGTAGAATTATGTGTAGCTAAATACAATAAGACCTCTTAAAAATGAGCAAGCACTGGCCAACTCATGAGAAAACAAAGATTCTTTGAAATATAAATTTTCAGACCAACTTTTCCTACAATTAATTCAAGTTATCGAAGTTTTCCAACATTACTAAGGTGTTTTTTTTTTCTCAAATCCCTGACACACCAATTCAGCATTGCAGACCCCACGATCTATATATTTGTTGCTTCTTAAGTAAATTCTGACTTGATTTTCCTTATCAGTACTCTCTAAATAGATTTATAGTCAACATATTAAAAAAATGGTTTAATAAAATTTCTAATACTGTACAGACAAACCAACAGTACAAACATGAAATGAAACAGCAGTACAGTACTCTGGATTGGTGTGCAGGTTGAATAGCTACTTTAGAAATATTGGTAAAATTTAAGGAGAGTCGCCCACGTTATCCAGCCACCTAAGGAAAAATTTCTATATAAGAAAGTTATTTCTTACCTCAAGAATAAAGCAAATAGGGTGGGGGAATAGCACTTTTCCTATTCAGGCCTTTCTTCCTCTTTTTCTTTTCGTCAAGAAATACATAGTTTTCCAAAAAATATCGTTACTTTTTCCATCTTTACAATTTCAAATGTTGGATGAAATGCAGCATCATATGATGGTATGCCTACTGCCCAAATCGGTAACAACTGTATTGGCTTATAAAATATCTGCAGAAATTGGTCAAATTACTGGTCATCTTGAAATTCTGCCAATTCTCTATACAAAATTGTTACCAGATAATTTGATCCACACAGTAGATAATGCTATACCAATACTTACCTACCTACCTACCTAACCTACAGCAGTATGGAAGTTAATTAATTATTAGGTGGTAGACCTATGGAATAGTCTAGCAACTTAATCTATGGAACCGAAAACAGTACTGGGCTTTAAAATAGCCCTTGACGAGTCTATCAAGGGAACGATATTGACCTTTCCTCGGCATGGCCACCTCTAGTTGGGTGGCCATTAGGTAAATAAGGCAAGTAATTTCGGTAAGTGTGTGTGTGTGTGTGGTGCTATGGGGTGGGTTGAGGTAAGTGTGTGAGTGTGGTACCATAGGGTAGGTTTAGGAGTGTTTGTGGGGAGCCACGAATTACCCAAAAGTACCCAAATGTACCCAAAAGTATAGCAAATAAAGGTAAAATCTTAACGAATATCTGTTATACATACACAAAACATGTTTAATAATATTTTTAGTGTAATTTTGTAAAAATAATTTGTAAGATGAAATAATAAACAGCAAAAAACTTTCAGTATTGGCGAACGCTAAATTCCAAAGAGTTCGTGAACAAGGGAGATAACTCAGATCCATCGTGATGCACTTCGCGAACCTAACCTAACGAAAAGTAAATCCTACGGCTATGTTAAATACCCCAAAGTAACAGAAACATCGGTAATTATATCTCCATTTTGAACAGGTGACTCTTTGGAATTCAGCATTTTTCACTGTTTATTATTTCATTATTTTGACTACATTTCAATGAAAACATTATTAATCAGGTTTTATTGATGTAAAACATATATTCGTTAAGATTTTACCCTGATTTAATATACTTTTGGGTATATTTGGGTAATTCGTTGGACCGGTGTTTGTGTGGTATTATAGGGTAAATTTATGTAAGTGCAAATTCTGGTTGATACGTATCGGTTCGACTAATTACCCAAATGAAGCCAAATATAGCCGCAATGAAGTCAAATAATGGTCCTACATGAATAAATCGGACTGCTAATCACTTCTCGACTAGTATTTGGTGTCAGAGTCACAAAAAATTGGAAAACTTACTTTAATCTGAGTTAATAGATCGCGTGCATGTACCGAGGGAGCGAGGAATTACCCAAATGTACCCAAATATAGCCGCAATGAAGTCAAATGATGGTCGTACAAGCGTAATTCGGGCTATGAATCACTTCTCGCTTATTATTTGGTGTCATAAAGTAAAAAAAAATTGGTAAACTTAATTTAATCTGAGTTGTGTTAGGTTAGGTTAGGTTAAATTAGGTTAGATTAGATTAGGTTTGGTACATGCACTTGATCTATTAACTCAGATTAAATTAAGTTATCAATTTTTTGTGACTTCGTGACACCAAATACTAGTCGAGGTTAGGTTAGGTTAGGTACATGCACGCGATCTATTAACTCAGATTAAAGTAAGTTTTCCATTTTTTTGTGACTTTGACACCAAATACTAGTCGAGAAGTGATTGGCAGTCCGATTTATTCATCTAGGACCATTATTTGACTTCATTCTGGCTATATTTGGGTACATTTGGGTAATAAGTCGGACCCATACGTATTGTAGTACAGGTATAGTAAATATTTGGGCTGTACTAAGAAAATACTTTTGGCTTTTATGTGGTTGTAGGATATTATGATGGGGTAATTCTAGGTTCACCATCTCCCTACTAATATTTTAGACTTAACCTCTCGAACCGTTATCAGCATATACCATAACCTACTGAAACTTATCAATGTTACTGTTGCTACCCTAAAATAGATATTGACTGTGGGAATACTTTAAACAGGCAGTAAGTAAGTTATGTGCTGGGATATATGTAGTTAATAATAAATATAATATGGTTATTGTTAGTTACCTATAAGCCTCCCGGCGACTGCTCCTGACATACACACGAACACAATAACTAAGTCTAATACTGTCTGAGAGACTGAAACAAGTTGCCTGACTTGCCTTTTGGGCCCTTGACTTTATCATACTACTGTAACCGACCAACGCTACGCAACACCACACTTTTAGCTCTCTTTTAAGTTTTATCACACTACTCTATAATATATGCAACAATAAGGATAATTAGTAAAGAATAATAATACAAATAATAAATAAGACCAAGCACATGAAACACTTTTCGGATAAACTGAAAATATAGTGAACTTCATTAGAACTTGAATGTAGAGAGTGCGGCAAATATCGAAAAGGGTTTTATTTTGTTATTATATAGGAATATGAATTGGAATTAATGTTATTTCATCTTATACACCCATTAGTTTAAACCACAAGCATGTGGGCAACACAACAACGCTCTATTGTAGTGTGGGGTACGGGTTGTTTGGTTCACACTCAGGATGGGACGGAGAAAGGAAACTCACAATGTGCTCTCTGTATAAAGTTTTTGACATTGATGTAATTGGCTTACAAGAACCTTACACGTCCAGCACCCAGAAGAAAGTTGCACCCAGGATAGCTGGGTTTACAGCATATAATAGTGGAGCAGAAAGTGGCCTGCTCACATATGTAAAGAATGGTCTGGTCTGTAAATGGATTAAAACTCACAATGATGAAAGTATTCACTATCAACAATTTACAGTAAAGACAACAAACAGTCAATTTTCGCTGTATAACATCTATGTTCGGTGTAATGAGCTGCGAGCGGACGTGTTACCAAAGCCATCAGGTAACAATGCTATGCTGTGTATGGGTGACTTTAACTCTCGTCACACTGTCCTCGGTGATGTCCAGTGTAACTTGTTCGTGTTCTGGGTAATAAGTTCAATATACAGGAGCGAACACAAACACCTGTATAGATTATGTAGGTTCGATTTACTGGATAAGAGATATGTACACAAGGAGAGTAGCGCTCTTCAACCTGTCCGCTGGTCAACTGCTCCATAGGCGACGTATGGCAAGTGAGACATTAACAGCTTCCATACGTCGCCAGGCACATTAATTAAGCATGTGGGACATTGATAAATACATTGCCACACGCTACTAGCTAGGCTAAATAAATAATACATAAATGGAGCACATACATAATATACATAGCATAATATAAATACAGCATACAGAATATACATACACCTCCCTCCCCCCTATACGCTCATAGCAAAGTCTTGAGCGGACCTTTTCTTTTGGATCCGTTCTGAGCGTCGAGGGACTTGATCACTGGGAAGGGTATGGGACTCAACACTGGTGGCGGGGTCAGCAGAAGGCATTGTTACGGGGCGGAGAAAACGGCGGTTCCTCCACCACACACGACCACTGGGTAACCGCATCTGGTAGTCCCGTGACCTACCGAGACCCATGACTACGCCTACTTTGTCCCAACGTAGGGAGGTCGGGTCCTGAACACGGACTTGGGTGCCGACACTCAACCTGGGGAGAGAACGGGCGTGGTCGTTGTAGCGGGCGACGACGTCCTGAACACGTTCGGCGGCTCGGCGATCACAATCCTCTGTCTTGGCCTGCCACTCCTTGGAGAAGGATTGAGGGTGAGCAGGGACACAAGAACGAAGGGGGCGTCCATACAAAACCTGGGCAGGGGAGCGTCCGGTGTAGTTAGGTGTGTTGCGGAGTTCAAGAAGACCCCGGTCGAAGGCCTCGCAGTCAATGTTCCCAGAAGGGGCCACCTTAAGGATGAGGTGCTTCAGGGATTTGACAGCAGCCTCAGCGTGGCCGTTGGACTGCGGGTAATGGGGCGATGACAACACATGCCGGACTCCCCATCGGTCAAGGAACACAGCAAAGTCCCGGCTTGTGAACTGGGGCCCTCCGTCGGTTCTCAGGCGTATAGGAACGCCCACGTCACGGAAGTAGTGGCGGAACTTGCTGATGGTGGCGGCATACGTCGTGTCATTACCGCACTTGATGACAACCGGCCAACCAGAGAGACGGTCGACGATAACAAGGAAGGACTTTCCTGACACAGAGAAAAAGTCGGCCGACACAGACTCAAAGGGGCGGGTGGGGTTGTCGTCACTCATGAAGGGTTCCTGCTGCTGGCTGGGTTGCAATACTTGGCAGGGCTCACACGCACGGACAACATTGGAGATGTCGGAGTTGATGCCGGGCCAGAACACAGTCTGTCGTGCACGTCGTTTGGTGGCCTCAGCTCCACGGTGACTGTCGTGGAGGCGAGCCAAGACGTGGGGACGTGATGCAGCAGGGACAACTACCGAAGGAGAGGTGTCACTGGCCAGAGGTAGGGGTAGGGCGGCAGCAGGGTAGTTGCTGCTCCCTTCGTGCACCCTGTTGGCGTATTTTACCTCCAGAATCGGTGTTGGGAAGTCCTGGGAGATGATGGCCAACTCTTGGCAATGTCTGTAGGACAGCAAAGGAGTCGGGACACCATTATGCACGTCAATCCAGGCCTGACACGACCTGTTGCCAAAGGTGACATGTGCATAGAGTGAACCTAGGCCTGGGGCCATCTGTGAACCATCTGCCGTGACGCAGAGGTCCTTGGGAGGCGGTCCTAGATCGCTTGGAGAGAGCCCCAAGCATTGCAAATGCTGGGGACCGATGACCGTAGCCTCAGCGCCGGTGTCGGGCAGCATCTCGAGACAGGATGACACATTGCCGTTGGTCACGATGACGCTGACGTGCTGGGGGAATTTGGTCATGGGACGTGAGGAGTACACCCTCCTAATATGGGTCGGGCTTTGTCCAGGGTCGTCGTGCCTCTGATTGGAAGACTGTGGGCGGTCCTTACTGGTAGAAGGGCGCTGAAGCTTCCGCCGACGCTGTCCCTTGGGTTTGTGGGTAGGGCAACACTTGTCATAGTGGCCCAGACGACCGCACACATTGCACTGTACGTACTTAGCTGGGCACCGCACTGTGAGCGACCAGTGGCCCTTACGGTCACAACTGTTGCAGGTAGACTGAGCAGCTGGACACACCTGTGTTCCGTGCTGCTTACCACAGTTGTTGCAAAATGAACCGGGCGTGGACGTGGTGGGCGAAGGCGTAGGAACAGACTTCTTGTCCTTGTACCGGGACACAGCGCGTACAGCTGTAGGGGGAGCTCGGATGGCAGAGGTGGCACACCTGGGAGCCTCATAGGAGCGACATATCGTCAACACATCCTTGAGAGAAGAGGAAGAGTCGAGGGAGGTGAGGCGTTGGACAAGTTCCTCGTCCTTAACACCCATCAGGATCACCTGCTTCAACTGGGTCTCCTCGCACTGCTGGTGGTGGCCTAGACCTATATCTACCTCTTCCGAGGCTCTCTTAAGACGTACATAAAAGGCGTCAAAAGTCTCACCCTCCATCTGTCTGCAGCTAAACAATTCCCTCCTGCGCAGAGCTTCATTCTGCTGTCCTTTGATGTGCCGTTGTAGAATGTCCAGTACCTCCTCTACAGACAGCGAAGAGGTCGGAGGTACCTGCAGCGTATGTTCTAAGACACGCTGAATTTCCAAGGACAGGCACATACGCAGCTGGATGAGTTGTTTAGGCTGTGACAAACTCTGGAGATCCACCATTGTAGCATAATCAGTCCACCGTCGCCGCCATTCACGAAAAGTCTGGAAATTCACATCAGGCTTCAAGATGGGCGGTGTTTGAGCAGCTGCTTTAGGTGGGGCTGGTGGGCGTGAAGAGAGCATTGATGAGGTATCTGAACCATTCAGTACCGAGGCAGTGTTAGAGCCAGGGGCTTGGTTAACAGTGAGGCGAGATATCAAAGCTTCAAACCGTGCACTGTCTTCCACTCTCCGTTGGTGGTCTCGTTCTGCCTCTGCTTGCCTTCTGTGTTCATCCGCCACACGTCTGCTAGCTTCATCCTCGCGCCTTTCATCTCTCATAAACTTCATTAAAGCAATTATCTCTGGAGACAACGCTGAATATCGAGGTGAAGGGCTGCACGATGTTGTGGGAGCTGGAGCGTCATGGTCAGCCTGGTCATCCGTCTCTGCGGAGCTATCATCCGACTGACTCATCCAGGCGCTGGTTCCACGGCTACGTAAGGCACGAGACATAACTACTTCATCTGTGTACTGTGTCTAAATCAGTGTTGACCGGTCAGCCCGTCGTATCAACAAGATCTCAGACAAAAAATTAATTAAATACACAGATAAGTAGGTTATATATATAAAATATATATAAGGGAGCCGCCGCGGTCAGTGAGTGTTAGTACATGTATGTGTGTGTGCGCGCGTCTGGGTGGGAGCAGTCTTCTCGAGCTGTGAGTGGGGGTGGAGACGGCGAGGAGCGTCAGTTACCCCTCAGGCAAGACAAGGGGAGGATGTGAAAACTTTACTCTTTACAAATGCCCAGAACATGCCGTGTACCTTGGGAATCCTTTAGAACAAGGTCACACATGAATGGCACGAAACACACAATGCACTAAACACTTCACAGAAAATCACTGTCACTGACACTGCTCAAAGTTGCTAAATTCTTGGAGGAGGGGTGGCGGGCGGCGGTTGGTTGACACAGGGAAGGAGTCCATAAGCCGGCTTTCCCACAAAGTTTGCACTGTCACTCGTAATTATTCAGTAAAAGTACACACTGCACCATGTTCGTGTTCTGGGTAATAAGTTCAATATACAGGAGCGAACACAAACACCTGTATAGATTTTGTAGGTTCGATTTACTGGATAAGAGATATGTACACAAGGAGAGTAGCGCTCTTCAACCTGTCCGCTGGTCAACTGCTCTATAGGCGACGTATGGCAAGTGAGACATTAACAGCTTCCATACGTCGCCAGGCACATTAATTAAGCATGTGGGACATTGATAAATACATTGCCACACGCTACTAGCTAGGCTAAATAAATAATACATAAATGGAGCACATACATAATATACATAGCATAATATAAATACAGCATACAGAATATACATACATTACTCTAATGGGAGGGTGTTCGTGAATTACATCAATAATCATAATATCACTGTATACGACACAGACTAAGCGACACATCTTGATTATGTGATTGGGTATAACCTAGTAGACAGTAATGTCAAGGCTAAGGTCATCTCAGACTACCTT